AACTCTCTCTCTCAAACTAACTCTCTCAAACTCTCTCAAACTCTCTCTCTCAAACTCTCTCTCTCAAACTCTCTCTCTCAAACTCTCTCTCTCAAACTCTCTCTCTCAAACTCTCTCTCTCAAACTCTCTCTCTCTCAGTGACTGCTCCAGCCTTGCCTTTTTTTTTCGCGCCGCCTTGACTTGCTTGCTGGTACGTACCCGCCCTGCCTGCTTCCTGGCTATCTCTCTCTTTCTCTCTCTCTCTCTCTCTCTTTCCTCGCGGCGCGGTCTTGGGTCATCTTGATGTCCGGGGGGTGCTTGCTCGATGTTGGCCCTGATCTGCCTCTCCCCCTATCTGAACCCTCGTGCTCACACCTCCATGATCTGATCCTTGTGGTGGATCCTTCTCTGCCCGGCTGTCGTCTCGCAGCGCGGGTGAAGGAGCTCAAGCTCCCAGTTGTTCTTGTTCCTCTCTGTCATCGGCCACCATGGCCCCTCATGGGCTGGAACCGATCCAGGCCATCCTGCCCAAGATTTCCTTGGAACGGCGGCAGGTGCGCGATTGTAGCTGGCAGCTGAACATGTCGACCGCTTCCCACTCTTAAATTACCTCTCTTCTTCCTGCGCATTTGGGCATCAGGCGCTGTCCCAGGCGGAAAGCCAGCACCTCCGGCTCTTTGGAGCTTACATCCTGGCCATTGCTGATCAGGCTCCCATTGCCAGCCTCGTACCTTATTTCAAGGTTGTTGTTGCATCGCGCATGCGCTGCTGCCCTCCACGTGCCTCCACCCCTGCTGGCTGGCACGTTTCATGTTTTTTGGGTTGCCCATCGTGTTGCTCATTTTGCCAAACTCCCTATGCCCACAACGGCCTAGGAGGATCTTGTGCACGTGTGGCTCGGCACCGGTGATGCTCATCGTGTCGAGGAACTTTTGAACGCAGGCGCACGGACAGTCATTGTTCCCATCAACTCCATCTCGGCCGAGGATCTAGCTTCCGTGGGTCAATCCGCTGGACTCCATCGCACCTGACCATTTGACTCCCGTTCACATTGGCTCACCTTACACTCGATGCCCCGTATTCAGTTTCCTCGCGAGCGCCTTGCCGTCGCCGCTTCTCGATTGCCAGCTGCACCCATCATCGAGGCTGTGGGCACCCTCGTTGTATGTCTTCTGCACCACGTTCTCCTCTGATTCAGCCTCAAGCTCCTTGTCACTCGACTCAACGCCTTTTTCTCCCGTGGCCTTAGCTGACTGATGCTTCAGCCTCGGTACCAGAGCGTCCTGCCAACATGCAAATTTGGCAACCCGCCAGCAACCCTGCCCATGCCCGCGAACGAGATGATGCCGGCATTGCTGCGGTGGTACGCTCCCTGTTCTCCCCTTGGCATCCCGGCTCAGCTCCCTGCACCGTCGTCGGAGAAAACAACCACCTTTTTTTTTTCCCCATCAATCATGTCATGACCCCCTTCCAATCGTGGATGCTAGGTTGAATTCACCTCCCTTGAAACCTCGGAATCGGCGAGTGCCTTCCTGACGAGCCTGCTGAACACCGACCGGTACGCACGCATGTGCAGACGTTCTTGCAAACGGAGACGTACAGCCGATTGCTTCTGATCTCACGCTCGGGCCCACTCTCGTTTGCAGTGAGGATCAGCTGTGGACAACCCTCGTCGTTGACGAGCGGGGCAAGGCATTGGGTGTCTGCTACTCCAACCAAGAGAGCTTGTGCAAGGCCATTGAAGTTCAGGAAGGCGTATACTGGTCCCGGCGTCGTGGTCTGTGGCACAAGGGACTCACTTCTGGCGCCACTCAAACCCTCCAACGCATCAATTACGATTGTGATCGTGATCTGCTCATTTTCCAAGTCACCCAGCACGGCGCGGTCAGTGCATCGTGTTACGCATAGCGGGCTGCTCACAAACCTCGCTCCTCCCCTTCTCACCATTAACCCACTCTCTTGGCCTCATGCTTCAGGGCTTTTGCCATCGCAACTTGCACTCGTGCTTCGGGGAGCGCACTGGCATTGCTCTATTGGAGTCTGTTCTTGAAGACCGCAAAACCAACGCGCCCAAAGGCTCCTACTCGCAGCGACTCTACAATGACCCAGGTCTTTTGAAGAACAAGCTGGTCGAGGAAGCCATTGAACTGAGTGAGGTACGGATTGACTGCCGCACTGCGTATGCAGGCCCCCATGCCCTCTTTCTCCTGCCCTAGGTGGTGCCGAGTTGATCAGTTTTGCGTTGCCCCGCACTTTTGATGTAAAACTTGCTGATAGGCCGATACGGCGGATCATGTTGCCTCCGAAGCTGCCGACCTTGTTTATTTTGCCATGGTCAAATGTGTGAGTGCCGGTGTCTCCTTTACGGATGTTGAGCGAGTGCTGGACCGCCGTCATCTCAAGATCAAGCGCCGCCCTGGCAATGCCAAGCCTGAGTTTCTCAAAGCCCGTTTGCAGGCCGAGCAGCAGGACCATGTGGTTGAGCAAACGTCTGTTGTGGTTAGTTCACCTCCTCCAAGCCGCTTCCCGTATCATTTCCACCACTCACCCCATTGCCACCCTGACTGCGCCTGCCAATTCCCGTACTTTGCAGGAGCCCACTTTGCGGGTTATTCCGTCAGACGACGTGCCGCCCCTGCACCGCGACCCTGTAGACGCCGATGCCCGTGCCATCGTGGAGCCCATCATGCACGACATCCGCGAACGCGGTGAAGCAGCGCTGTTGGAACACGCCGTGCGTCTGCGCGACATTGAGGTGGGCCAACCACACATTTACCGTCAGGCTGATCTGAAGAAGGTGTACGACGAGCTGGAGGCCGCGGACCGTGCCATGCTGGATCGCACGGCGTCGCGAATCCGGCTGTTTGCCCAGATGCAGCGACAGTCGGTCCAGGATGAAGCCGTCCTGAAGATTGATGGCGGCCGGGCGGGTCAGCTCGTGGCAGCCGTGGAGGTGGCGGGATGCTATGCGCCCGGAGGTCGCTATCCACTGCCGTCAAGTGTGCTGATGGGTGCCATCACTGCCCGGGTGGCGGGTGTCAAGCAGGTGTGGGTGGCAAGCCCCCGCCCCCACCCAAGCGTGCTGGCAGCTGCGTACATTGCAGGCGCGGATGGCCTGTTGGCCGTGGGGGGAGCCCAGGCCATTGCAGCATTTGCGTATGGCGCCGGCGAGGTCCCGGTGTGCGATGCGATTGTGGGGCCTGGCAATAAGTTTGTGACGGCTGCCAAGTCGTTGGTGGCGGGTGCTGTGGCCATTGACATGTTGGCGGGTCCCTCGGAATGCTTGGTGGTGGCCGACGACACGGCTGATCCGGCGGTGGTGGCTGCCGACTTGTTGGCACAGAGCGAGCATGATGTGGCAGCGCGCGCCATTTTGGTGACACCGAGCAGCACGCTGATTGAGGCGGTGAACAAGGAGGTGCAGCGCCAATTATCGACGCTGCCTACGGCAGAGACGGCACGGGTAGCCGTGGAGAAGAACAGTTTTGCTGTGCACACGGCCAGTCTGGAGGAGGCGATTGAGGTGTCGGACCGATTGGCACCAGAGCACTTGGAGGTGCACACGGCGGATGCGGCGGCGCTGGTGCCGCGGTTCAAGCACTATGGGGCTCTTTTTGTGGGCCACATGGCTGCGGAGGTTTTGGGCGACTATGGAGCTGGCCCGAACCACACGCTGCCCACGGGCGGCACGGCTCGGTCGTTTGGTGGACTGAGCGTGCACACCTTCTTGCGGCCCCGTACCTTCCTTGAGCTGCAAGATCGCGCGGTACGCTTTCGTGCCCGTCCCATGGGTATTCACTTTGTGATTTTGATCCATTTTCTCATTCAAAGGCGTGATGCTTTGTACCCATTTTCTAGTCTGCCGAGGTTATTATTCAGGACGCTGTGGATCTAGCATTGATTGAAGGGCTTCACGGGCATTCTCGAGCGGCCGCGCTGCGGCTGCCCAGCGCCCTCAAAGCGACAAACACAAAGCCAGTCATTGCCGTTTAAATGCACAAGAAGTCAATCGAGATGAAGCATGTCAACATTCGCAGTTACATCAAGCAAAAGCCTACAAGGAAGGGCATTCGGAAAGGGAAACACGACACTAATACATGGGTTGAAGCAACAATTTGAGAAGAAATCAATGAGGAATGGAGAAGAGAGAGATAGTGAACGATCCTAAGAAAAAGAAGAGAAAGAGACGTGGAATGCAAAGGAGAAAAAAAAAAAACAGAAATGTATCAGCAGCACCCTTGAGCACGCTCCTTGGCCTTGAGATCGACGGTATCGGTGAACTTTGCCTTGACGTTCACTTGATTGGCCATGAGGAGGCGAACGGCTGTGAGAAAGGCTTCCTCGACGTTCTCGGCGGTTTTTGCACTCGTCTCATAGTAAGGCATGTCATGATGACCCTTGCAAAAGTCCAGGGCTTGAGCATGAGCCACCTGACGACCTTCCACGTCCACCTTGTTGCCGACCAAAAGAAACGGAAAGTTGTCGGGGTCTTCAACCTCGGCAAACTCCTTGAACTCGCTGATCCAGGCGTCCAAGTGATCAAAAGTGTGTCGGTCCGTGAGATCAAATACAAACATGCAGCAATCTGATCCGCGATAAAAAGGCCGCCGCTATGACAGGGCCGCGGCCGTCGTGAGTCCGGCGGGCCGGGACAGTCAGGCAAAGAACACAGGGGAGAAAAGGCAAGGTGAGTCATTGAGCCTCACGACTGCATGCCAAAGCGAGATGGGCCAGGTCTGGCGCTGACGCGCTTGGATGCCCTGTTCTTTGCAAATTATGGCTTGGAGCAGAGCAAAGAAGGCAGCGCGGGGTAGTTGCTGTGAGCTTACCAGGGCCTTGTAGCGTTCTTGGCCGGCCGTATCCCAAATTTGCAAGTGGCAAGTCTTGTTATCGACGATGATGTCCTTGTTCAAAAACTCCACGCCGATGGTATGGTAGTTGTGTTCATCAAAGGTGTTGTTGACGAAGCGGGCCATGAGCGAGGACTTGCCGACACCGCCATCGCCAAGAATGACCACCTTCAGCAGGCCATCCTTCGACGCCATGGTGCCGGACCTCCCTCCAGCAACGCCGAGCAAGGCACAGATCGGCTTGGACCGCGTGACACCCGACTCGGAAGGGAATCAGGCTCCTCCAGCAATCACGCAGAGCAAGAAACGCTCAGCTCACACCTGAACCCAAGTGCTCCGTCAGCAACCAGTCAAACTTTCTACGATGCTTCGATTTCCAGACCACCGATCGTGCACCGGCACCGGGGACTTCAAGTCTGCCGCTGCCGTTTCTCGTTCGGATGCAAAAGAAAAAAAAAAAGTCAGCGTGATCCTGCATACAAATCAAATGCGTTTCACAGTTGTTTTTCCAGCCCCAATTATTCCCGTTTCCACACACACTCTGTGGTGGAAAAAGTTCTGACGTTTCGAGCTGTGATCAATTCTTTTGATTTTTTTTTTTTTTTTTAGTCATCAGCGGTCGTGGGTTCGGTTTTGATGGTCTCCGTCTTGACAGAGTTATCGTGACGTTGGGCGGCGGCCGAGGCTGTGGCTACATTGGCACTGGGGCTTTGCCATAATTTCAGCTGACGATCACCACTGCCTGTCAAGAGCATTTGCTTTGCCTCGCTGTAATACATGGTCCTACAATATGGTGAACCGAACCGAGACGGCGTGAGCGCAACTGGCTTGGGACAGGCGGGCTGACGGTGTTTGCAAGACAAGGCACTTGGAGCAATGACATACAAAATAGGCACCGGGTGGGCAGCAGTAGCAGCCAAGGGCTCCGCGGTCCGTGTGTTCCACGCGGCAATGGATCCCGACTCATCCGCCCAGAGCACCAAGGCCTCGTCCTGAGCAAAAGCTGCTGGGGTAGAGGCCGAGGCAGGAGTAGCTCCCTTGTATTCGAAGATGACACGTCCTACCAGAGTTGAAAGCGACAGGTGATGAGTGGCAGGTGAACCAACCAAGCCTTTCACCCTGTCTCCCGGGGGCCAGACGCACCGTTATCGAGCTGCATGAGCACAAGACGCTGCGTCGAGCTTGTAATGAGCGCATAGGTGCCACTTGAGGATAGCTAACAAGGCAGAGCCATCACAACCGGCCCGGCGTGAGCGATTACATGACACGTCTGGCTACAAGTGCATATCCTTCACATGGCTTTTGCCAATGAGGCAACGCGGATCATTGAAGCTGGGGTAGGTAGGAACAGACCTGAAGGTTGCAGATCGAGTCCATGTCAAAAATCGGGCCGTGCGTCTTGAGGCAAGTGAGACTCACGGCGCTCCACACTTTGACCATGCCCAGAGTACATGCAGTTACGATAGTCTTGGCATCACTTGTAAAGCGCGCCTATGTCGATTTCCCCATCATAATAACGCAAGGGGGGTAAGATGAGTGCTACGACTGCATGGGCCACTTGGAAAGCCAGCCGGAAACGTGCACGCGTACCGCGCACAAAGGGGCCGTGTGTTCTGTGGCCCAATTGGCGGGACGATAGCACTGCCAGGTATCAGTATTGTAAAGACGAAGAGTGGGATGCTCGGCGGCTACGAGCAAGTAGGCGCCCGTCGGATGGTACTCGAGCGCAGTGATGCCGCATGGATCCTGCCTCGAAGCAACATCATTGCGTGTTATCATCAGTCATGTGCATGAAAAGTTGTTTGGGACAGAGCGTGGCCGTTGGGCCCACCTGGAGTGTGTTTGAGATGTTCTGGGCATTGGGAGTGAAATCAAAGTGACTGATGAGACCGTCGGTGGAACCCGCTGAAATGATGGCCTTGGTCGGATGAAAGGCCAAGGCAGAGACGGGCGAGCTGCCGTCAAAGTTGGCAAGCATGGCCGCGGAACCGGATTCGACCATGTTGGTCGAAGTCACGAGACCACGCGAGCGATAAACACGCACGCGACCATCCTGGCACCCAACGGCAAAGAGCTCGCCGTCGCGACTAACGGCGCCTGGCACAAAGAGGGATAAGTAAGGGTGAAATATAAACATGCTGGGGCAACACCTCAAAAGACAGCAAAGCAGTCTTCAGTCTTGGCGACGCACAAACGGTCGGTGCTGATGGAAGGGACAGGGCTGCCTTGAGCTCGAAGCGGGCATCCAGCGTGGCGGGGTCCACTGTGTGACCAAAGTCAAGACCTAGCCCATAAACAACGCGAAATGAAAGATCAGGACCAGGTGCACCAAGCCCTGTAGCACACGTGCCAAACTGAGGAAATGCGAGTTGTGCACACGATACCGACCTCGAGAAGTCGTAGCGGCAGTATTTTGCGTCCACACTGTAGTTTGGACGAGTATGAGAAGCACCACCCAAACGCGCAGATGAGCACAGAATTGAAGAGAGGCACCGAGGGGGTGCGCGTCAGTGGTTATACAGCACGCATGGAGCCGGCAGTGAAACAGCAAGCGTCCTGAACCAAAGACATCAAACTGACTCGTGGATGTCTGGTTGCTGGCGGCAAACAGGTCATAAAGGCCCGACGAAGCTGAGAGCGCGCCCAAATCCGTGCTCAGGCGCTCGGCCAGCTGCTGGGCCATATCATGATGGCCATCGGCCAGCAACTGCCTAGACAAGGATCAATAAGTGACGGTCGTTAGTCCGTCGAGCCATGCAAGCCCATCCACCAAGCTCCAGCCATCGCATCCCCGCCAAGTAGACTGGCAAGCCCTTGAACGCGCAGAGCGTGAGGCAACCGTCAACGTACTGCATCATGCTGCGGTAAAGATCATGGCGCTCGCCAACGGCCTCTGCGGTGGCTGTCGAAGCCATTGCAACCAGTCTGGGTCCTCCCCACGCGTACGCAACAGTGTTCTCAACGGCCCCACCTCCTCAACTAGCCCGTGTAGGCGCCTGCACCTCACCGCCACGAGAGAGAGACAGAGAGACAGAGAGACAGAGAGACAGACAGAGAGAAAAAAAATTATTTTAAACTGAGAGAGACAAAGAGAGCCATGAAGATATTTTGAGAGAGGGCTGTGACCAATGGTTCATTTTACAGCTAAACTTCAACCCGTAGTAGAGATTACGTTGCGAGCAGGTTTGACTTCAGAGACGCAGAGGTTGACACCGAGGCAGAGCTCGTGTTCACCTCCTCATGATCGCGCCCGTGCCCGTGCCAGTGAGCAGCGGGAACAGCAGGAAGAGGGGAGAGGGGCGGCGTTGCATTCGACGATACCCGTGCTTTGGCCTGTGGGCGTACAGTCAAAGCTTTCCAGCAAGATGGTAGCTCTCCTATCGCGCGTGCTGCGCCGTTTGCCCAGCGGCTGGGCAAGACGACATGGCCATGACCGAGCCTTGGCCACACTGGGCACAACTGCCGAGGCTGGCCCCTTGTTTCAAATCACCAACAGCCTTACACGACAAGTGGAGCCGCTGCCCATTCCCAGCGGACGACCCCTGTACTGGTATCAATGCGGGCCTACTGTCTACGACGACGCTCATCTCGGGCACGCCATGTGAGCACGCGCCGCTTCCACTTACTCAGCCACTGGCCATCATCTCGACTGTTTGAGCCTGATCAAACGCTGGAATTTTTTCCACCACTCTCCCTCAGGTCGCATTTGCGCCTCGATGCCCTGCGTCGAATCCTCGAAGCGGCAGGAGTGTCATTGATTCAAGCCATGAGCGTCACAGACATCGATGACAAAATTATTGCCCGCGCGCACGCGAACCAGCGCAATTGGCAGGTTGGGCTCTCCCTACCGAGCGAATGTGCTGCCCAAGTCCTATAGGGATGTGGCTAACGCGTGTGTCATTTCTAGGACCTTGCGCGCGAGATGGAGCAGCACTTCTGGGACGACATGGCCAAACTCAACGTGTTGCCTCCGCACCTTCCGCTGCGCGTCTCTGAGCATATGAACAGCATCATCACATTTATTCAGGTGTGCTGAGAAAGTCACTTGCATGTCTCCTCCGGCTTCTCCCAAGCAAACACACGCGCGCGCACAAGCACACACACTTCCGTGGCATGCATGCCCTAATGTGCACGCCGTACCATCACAGAACATCTTGGACCGCAATCATGCATATGCCGCTGAAGATGGCAGTATTTATTTCGACGTGACTGCCTTTGGCCTTGATCGCTACGGTCCCTTTGGCCTATCCGAAAGCAATGCACAAGACGCGGAACCTCGTGCACACGACATTCGAAGCCCACGTGACTTTGCTCTTTGGAAAGCTAGTCGTCATTCAGATGAACCTGGTTTCGAATCTCCTTTTGGCCGAGGTCGCCCAGGCTGGTTGGTCCGCGTCTGCCCCATTCGCACCATGATTCGCCTCTACCTACCCTCGTGCCAACCAGCTGACGCTGGTTGAAAAATACAGGCACATTGAATGTTCGGCCATGGCCACAGAGTATTTCGGCCCCCACCTTGATCTCCACACTGGCGGGTCCGTTCCTTTGCCCCACCACATGCTGAGCTCGCACCAGCGTTGCTAGGAGCATCTTGAAACGCCGCACGTCATGCCCCAATTCCCCTCCTTTTTTAGGCTCGACCTCAAGTTCCCCCACCACACCAATGAGATTGCACAATGCGGTTGGTTTGCTTCGCGCTCACTCAGGACATGGCAGCAGATTGAACGGGAAAAACTCATCTTTGTTCGCAATGTTATGGACGATGTCCACATTGGCTGTACACAGAGAGCATAGGAGATGGCTCTCCCTGGTGCAGCTGCTTCGTGCACACTGGCATGCTGTTGCTCAACTCGGTCAAAATGTCCAAGTCTCTCGGCAACTCGCGTTCTATTCGCGCTTTTTTGGCGGACCACAGCGCAGACAGTCTTCGCTACATTGCCCTACAGGGATACTATGACACCAGGTAGGTGTTCTTACCCTCCTGTCTGTGACAACTAACCTGGCTTTACCCAGCCTGTCTTGAAGACACCTAAGCTTTTTTTTTCACACTTCGCTGGGCCAACAGTCTAGATTTAACTTCAGAGTTGATCGACGGGGCTGAAAGTGCCGTGCGTAAGCTGGCCCAATTCGTGGCCCGCACACGACAACTGGCAAAGCTTGAAAGCAAAGCGGTTGGTAATCCATGGTTGGCGCGCAGACTTGGCACACGTATGGATCATACATCTGTCTCATTTTCGCGAGTGCGCCACCTTCAACAGTCATCAGCCTCTGTACATCATTTCCAGCAAGCTAGCGACTACAAAGAAAGTGTTCGGCTTCTCCTGCAACGCGAGTTCAACACGGGAGGCGCTTTGCAACGTATATTTCGAGAGATGCGTGAGCTCAAGCTCGGCACCGTCAGCAAACAAGTGGATCCCGGTGTCACAGCACGTACGTGGTCGTTCCAAGAGAAGCACGCACCATGTGCGTGCGTGAGGTCGTCTTCTCATTCCAACCATGAATGCCGCAGGAGCCCAGGAGGTTCTTCAAACACTACGCACACTGGGCTTCAATTGCGCACAACCACCTGAGGCCACTTCGGAGGGGGTCCAGACCGACCAGGACACGACTGCTGTGCTCACCAAGGCCCTCGATGAAATGGTCCATTTTCGCCATACAATACGGCACGAAGCAACCACGGCGCCGCGTGAGAATGCGATGCGAGGCTCACTATTCGCCGCGTGTGACCGCGCTCGCGCACGACTCGGTACGTCGTGCGTCAACCCGTGTGTTTCACTGGTGTGCGACTATCGCTGTGGCAAGCACTAGGCTCACTCGTGAGCTGGGTAGGCGAACTCGGCGTGGAAATGCTGGATGGCAAGGATGCAACGACCTGGCGCATTAAGTGAAGGCGCACGACCTGCACTGCTTAATATGGTTCAAGCATGTTCGTGTGTCGTCCAGTACCTAGCTCGGATGAAAACTGGAAAGACAGACAAGCACATAGGCAAACAGATACACTAAGAGAGACACAACAGACGGAGGTTCGAAAGATGTGAAGAGAATGAGCATGATTTGCTTGCACGAATTGATGGTAGCACCGCGCAGAGATTGAGAAGAGTGATGATCATGACTTTGCTATTGATATTATCATTGCTCTTGTGAGGCGGCTTTCTATTTATTAAGGAGTGCTGGCATGCAGATAAAAAGGACAAGATCATTTATTTCACATCTGACTCATGAGCAAGGCGATACGCGCATCTAGCTGTCGAATCACCGGGTCTGTGGGTGGATAGATATTCGTGTTGAGCAGCGACTGCCGTTCGTGGGTGAGGCGAGCAACTTCGGCTTGCAGCCGGTTTAAGCCTGCGGGGGCTTCGGTCTGGGGAGCTGATGACGAGGTTCCAGGCTCGCTGTGGCCACCTAGCGAACGCGACGAACTGCCCACCGTCAGTTGGGCCAGCCGTTGTAGCTCAGCCTTGATTTCGGCAATTTCTTTCATCTCATTGCCCGTCACGTCCCGTTCTTCCTTCATTAAATATTGCAAACGAAGATGCTACCAGACCGCCAACAGACAAATACAATGAAGCAGGCAAACATGGAAGTGCCGTACAACTGAGCCAAGCTGACTGACATACCTCCAGCTCACGCTGTTGCTGGCGAAGGTGCTCACGAGACAAGAGCTGCTCTTTCTGCCGCAGCTGAGCCACAGTGTGCAAGGCCTTGGTCCTGTCAGAGCACGAGCACCAAACGTTACGATGGTCACCTCGCACACATCCATTGCTCGGGCCCAATAAAGATGGTGAATAAGGGTAGGGCCTGAGAAGACCTACCATTGCTGTTTGTATTGGTCCTTGGAACGCTGGGCAGCGTCGAGCTGCCGATGCAGCTGCTGCACTTCACTGCTGAGCCGTACTACCTCGGCTTGAAGTTGAGCCTATAAGCAAGCCACATGAAACCGGATGAGGACTGCAGTGTGGCTTGGCAGCGCAGCAAGACCAACACCTACGTTGGGACCGCGGCTCCGCTCAAGACGGAGCGCCTCATTTTCCTCTTGCAAAACCTTGAGGCGTTGCTCCAATTGATCGCGATCTTCGGAGATACGATGCAAATGCTCCTCCTGGAACCGTGTCCTGCTTTGCGATAGCTCCGACTATCATAGATGGAGCGTGACAATCATGAATAGATGCAAATATTAAGCTTCGACCAGATTGCCAAGCTGATGGTCAACAGGTCGATGCTGACATCTGAAAACCTCAATGCTCGGAGCATTCACACACACACACACACCCACACACACACACACACACACACACACACACACAGCCAACTGCGGCAAAAGTGTTTTCCCCACTTGCATACCTGGTGCGCAAAGTCTGATTCAAGCCGTCGACTAGCGTCACGCAACTCCGTCATGGCACGCTCGTGTTGCTGTGCAAGCTCTGCTTGCTTGGACTCGAGCTCTTGGGATTCTCGCTCCAGTTCTGCTTCACGCTCGCGAACGCGTCGCAATGTTGCCTCAAGCTCAGCCGAGGTCTTGTTGTAGGATTGCATGCGCTGAGTGAGAATGGCCTCTTGCTGGCCATTGCGAGCCTTCCATTCAGCCGCCAGGCGCTTTAAGGCCGCCTGCTCCTTCTCTTCTAGAGTTTGACGAAAGCGCTCTTGCTCCTCCTTCATCCACAGCTCCAACTCGAGCCGAGCCTGATATTGCTGTGCCACCTGCTCGGCATCTCCGGGCAGACGCTCGCCCAGCTCGCCGGCGCCAGCCGCGGCAGTGTACGTTGTTGCCGACAACGTATCATACTCCTCCGAATGAGGAGGCGGCAAGTGCCCTGTTCGCTCGGGGGCAGGTCCCATTCGCCATGGCCCCCCTTGGCCATAAGCAGTCAAGTTCACCCCGTCCTCGGCAGGTTGACCGTGTGATTCAAAACCATCGTGCTCGACACCGACAGCCTTGGGTGGCAGAGCAGCGTGATGAGTGGCTGATTTCAAAGCCGGGCGCTGCGCAAACGTGGCCTCGTTGATGGGAATGTCTGCTGCTCCCAAATCTTGTAGGGTCAGCAGCACATCGGCCCGAGCCACCTAAATGTGAGTCAGAAGAGTCGCCGAACGAATGTGAGAGCGGTCGCGAGAAAAGGCACGTCCAACAAGGTGCTGTCGCAAAGGTCCAAGACCGTACTTCGCTTGGAGCCTCGCCTTCGTCCGTCACAAACATCACTGTTTCCCGCGCCGACACCAGCTCGGTGTGTCCATCAGCCCGAGTCCACTGATCAAAGAGCGAGCGGAGGCGAAGTCGACCACGACCCGCTACGCGATGGCCATTATACTGGCATCGGAGGGACCCAGGGGTTAACAAAAAAAAATTGAAAAATTGAAAAAAAATGAAAAAATGAAAAATAATATTGAAAAAGTCAATCAAGATATTGTAATGCATACGGTTGGGCAGGGTTGTGACCTCAAAGCGGGGTGCGTTCAGTGGTTGGGTACAAAAGGCGCAGGTAAGGTTACCTGATCCTGCTCAATCAGTTCAACGTCCACGTCATCGTGCCATTGTTGATCAAGGGTGGGCACAGAGGTCACTAGGTCGTAGCTGGCAAATCCGTGTGCCAACTGGACCTGACTGCCCCGTTGCACCTGCGACAATCACCGTTAGAAAGGGCGGAGACAAGGGATCGAGCGGCGGCATGGAATCAATTGCTACGATTTCAAAAGCAAGGCGGGTCGTGCAGTGGCGGGTTACAACCAATGACTCACCATGACGGACGGATGGGTCAGATATTGCCCCGGAGTGCCCAATAAGGCGGTCCGATAGCGCACCAGCAACTAACAACCCATTGAAGCAACGTGAAAAGAAGAAGAGCAGAACCAAAATCGCGTAGTTGGAAGCAGACAACACACCTTGAGTTGCTGCGGAGGACGCTGAGCTCGCTGAAGGGTCTGAAAGTCTACCCCGATGGCCAAGCGGCGAAAGCCTGGCCGAGAGTGGTCCGGGCCCTCGAGGCCACCCTGGTGATCTGGCTCACTCTCATCACTGCTCAGGGACAGTGGGTCAGGGGGTGCACCACCAGCACCTGTAGGAGGAACGGGGTGATGGTGCACCGTGTCCGTCGTGTGTGTGGCCGAGGCAAGTTCTGCAGCCACACCATGCGACTCCGCCGCCCGAGCCCCGAGGTGGCGAGGTATAATTTGCGTCGCGATAGTTAGAGTGCAGTGACGGGTACCATCTGCTGAGGTCATTCGTACGCGATGCTCCTGAGGGCGACCCCGGTCGGCGCTAGGAGCCGCCACATCAGCCATGTGCAGGCTGCAGGTTCCCAAAGGCTGGCTGCCGTCCGCGCCCTGGAAGCACACCGCCAACTACAAAACACCAAGCCCAACCATGTACCCGTTACTTGTGTTGAGACGGTGGCCATCCGTTGACCTTCTCTAGGCTTGGCTTATCGCGCATGGAGAACGAGGCCCCGTACCTGCAGGTCCTGGCCATTTGTCTGAAGAAAACGTTCGAGGTTGGCCTCCGTGGTCCATAGATTTAGGTACATTTCCAGTGAGCGTAGATCATGGGCATGTGAGAGCCCAAATGGGGAAGAAGCACACGTGAGACCCTCGAGAGTGGCCTCAAAAAAGGCCTGGCTCAGGGCGTGCTGATCCGAGGCCTCGGACATGAGGGCCATCTGGTGGGCAGGCAAGCGGTTGCCAACGTATGAGGTCAATGTTGCGGGTTATGCTGACTACAGCACTCGAGTCCATGCGAAATGCGTACCGCGGTCAGTCCTGTGGCATCTTTGATGCGCAAGGCCAGCGCATAGTCATCTAACGAATGCCCAACCACCACGGGCAACGGTGTAGGTGAACGGGTTGATGCGCATGTTGTTTTGACAAGGAGATACATAGACCGTTGAAATGAAAATACAGGTCAACGATAGCCAGAGCAGCGGCATGACGCGCCAAAACATACGTGCGTCCTCCTCGGAAGCGGGTGCTCCCAGTGCCAGGACGGGTTCTAGGTGGCGTTCAACCACTGCCACGGGGATGCGATCGGTGGGCGCTGCAGGGGAAGGCATGAGTTGTTTTGTGTTGTTTTGTTGCTGGTCTGTGGTGCACATCCTGGTCTGCATGAAACAAATGCGCTGTCGCATTGCAATAAGACCAGCAGTACGAAGCGCACCATCCATAGTCTCCAGAAATAGTTGAATCAACAACTCGGGTTTGCTTTTGCGATAGACGCAATTAAGCAAAGGGTACCAAGTGGAGGCCTGACGTAGAAGGCGAAACATGAGCATGCCAGGCAGTGCTATGATGCGTTGAGTCTGGGAAGAAGTACGAGTAACAGCGCGCTGTCTTCTTACGCGAGCGCGGCTTGCAGGAAGAGCCAGTCGTAGATCAAGCATGACATAGCCCAAAAGTTCGCGCGTGCCGGCGATGTTAAGCTGGCTTTGTACCTCGGCCTGGGGCACGGCATACACCTAGACGCCGATGATAAAATTCGTCAGGCTGACCCAGAGGGATGATGACGGATGTCAAACAGGGGGAAGGGGGGTGCGCGTGACAGACATTGAGTTTGATTTGGGTCCGCTGGGCTCGATGGTAATTCCAAGAGCGACGTGTCAGGATCCAAGCCTAGTCCAGCAACAACAGAGGGGTGAGCAGTGGATAGGAGACCGCTGGCGTTCAGGATCTTCACGTACTAGTTCATTGTCAATGGTGAAGGACGCCTTGTGTGGCACGGGGTCTGTGCTGAGGCTCTTGCCATCCAAGGCGGCTTCGAGCACGAGATCGAACTGCGGCCGCGACGGGAAGTGCCGGCCTGACAAGGGTGTGACAGTACCAGAAGATGAGAAAAAGATCAACTGCAGCAATGTTCCGAGGCTCGGCTTGATCCAAAACTATCTGTGCCAGACAGCCAGCCGTTCTGCATCACGAATGGCCCGGGCAAAGGCAATCGCCTCTCACCTTGGCCGACCGCAACCACAACGGCTTGATGGCGCATCCTCCTGGTCCTTCAGAGAGACTCGGCGGGACAGTCGAACCCTCTGCCTGTCACCAAGCTTCCTGCTACGCGCGGGTGACGATCACAAGGCTCTAGCAGGCAGCCAACGGTCTCAGAGAGGTCCTTGGAGCCAGCCGGCTCAGACGAGCTCCTTGAAAAATGAGAGAGAGAAAAAGCGAAAAAAAAAAAATTCAAATTTGAAATTCGATTCTAAAATTGCCGATTACCCTCCAAATTTTAGTCCGATGTATTTTACTTCTTTCTGTTCTTTCTGTTCTTTCTGTTCTTTCTGTTCTTTCTGTTCTTTCTGTTCTTTCTGTTCTTTCTGTTCTTTCTGTTCTTTCTGTTCTTTCTGTTCTTTCTGTTCTTTCTGTTCTTTCTGTTCTTTCTGTTTTTTCTGTTCTTTCTGTTCTTTCTGTTCTTTCTGTTCTTTCTGTTCTTTCTGTTCAGGGACGACGAGTGTGCATTCACAGGGAGGTTTGCCATATTGCAAGGATGTTTGGCATCGGTTTTAGCATCAAAATGAATGTCAATTGTAATCTCAAGTCGTGCACTACTGCATTTCACCACGTCGTCATCTGCTGGCAGTTTAACCACATCACAGGACCGCGTCAACGCGGATGCAGTGCAGAAAACAATTATTATGGATACAGAGCCAGGTGCGCCTTTCGTGGCAATCATGAGGGTGAGGCACAGCGCGGGGCCGAAGACTTTGACTGGATCGTAGAGGTGCGTGGGTATATTTGATCCACCAGCATCTAATGAGACGGCGCCCCGCAGGCAATCGAATATGGATTAGAGACAGGTAAAGTGAAGAAGAGAGGAAGCGAAGGATACTCATCGCAAGACAGCCAAAGACATTCATTTGCATACCGATGAGCCCACGGCACGGTAGACTTCCTCGGGCTGAAACCTAGCGCTGGAAAGAGACGGTGGTTTTACCAGGCGTGGCATTGGCAGCACAACGTTAATTTGATCACCCAACTTCCACAACCTTGTTTTCCCGTGCAATGCCTAACCCATCAGAAACATACCCAGCAGCAGCAATGGCGACGATGCAGAGATACTTCAAGGTGGGAGTGGGCGTTATCAGGACTGAGCACACGTCATTGATCCTATTACAGTCGCATTAAAGGTTCAAGGAAGATGTGCGATGGCGACACGCCACCGCAGGCGTGGTTGCGAGGTGATCGACCGTTTTTGAAAAGCATGTCTGTTCGCGAGCGTACCGCCGGTCGGTCCTGCCGAGTGCGAGACCACCAAAGGTGATCAGTTCGCCGTACTGTGGGTGGCCGACACAGCAAAATTGATTAGACCTTGGTCAACCAAAAATAATTGGAGTGACAGCGGAATCTTGCATAAGCAAGTGTGGCGGCCAAGATACGCACGCTGGTGATTTCAGCAATGTGGAAGAGGGTGGGGCAAGGCCACCGCAGATGATTGAGATGCTCCCACTGCAAGGTGGGCAGATGCAACCTAAAGACGTGAACCCAAACCTGTCTGGGCTTGGAAATCCCGCCGAGCAGGTACAGGTCTATCACACAAGGGAGGTCAGTCACCGCCCACCGAAATGAGAGAGTAGCAGGGACCAGCATAGCAGGCTCTGATCCAGTTTGCCAGCGAAACCAAGCAAGACCAAGAGACAGTAAATCGACATACATTCCCCGTATTTGGTGCAGGTGTGGGACCGCAATTCGGGAGGATAGCCATCTACGCATCCGCGGCCGTCACGCACATCAGCTGAATAGAGTCCCTGCTCACAAGATGGGACGGGAAAGGGGAGTGGGGGCGGATATACTGGCAAACGGAGCACGTACCCGCGTTGTCACCGTGCAGATGTTCAGTCTCCCATCGTCGCGTGCGCGTATTGAACACAAGTGCAGTGTCCATAAACTTATCGGGAGTGGGGTTGGGCGTACCACCTCCCAGGACGACCATGCGGTGATTGTGCATAACGGCCTGGTGTCGGTAACGTGGGGTGGGCCAGTTATCAAAGGGCCCTTGAACAATTTCCTCCCAAGTCTACCAGGAGGAGAGGTGACCACAATCAAGACGCAGGGGCAACCATCAGGTGTGATTTGTGTGACGAGCGAAGGGTGGGGCTGCAAACGGGTACATGATAAGTACCCTGGTAGCCAAATCAAAGCGCCACAGATCATTGTAAAACTGGGTGCCCTGTGTGCCGCCAAAAATCCAAAAGCACTCTTGTGCGGCATCATACACCATTGACTAAAGCCAGGGTTGATCAGGCAGCAAATGTCATCAAGCACCAACAGATATCAACCATCGGCCGGGGCCATGCAGACGGCAGAGCATGTGCGCACGGGCTGCTCACCTGTCCAAAGCGAGCCAGTGGGCACTGATCAATTTCATGAGAAATCGTGTGCCACTCGCCCACGCGCACGTCAATGTAATGTAGGTCCCGAGCATTGTTCACGCCAAAGGGATCTGTGTCAGTAAGATGAGCACGGAGCAAGTCAGGCCTCAAGCACCAACTACAATAGGAATGCCGCGGGCACGCAAGGCAGGCAAATGCAACAACAAAAGCAAGTCCACAGGCCAGATGGGCTAAGCGCCCCTCTTCCTTGACAGCCCTCTTCCTTGACAGGCGCAACGTAAGCTTGACGTACACTCCGTGCCGCCATATATCCAAATTTCGTAGCCCACCGCCACAGCTGACTGGCTGCAGGTGGTAGAGGGCGGTGTTCCGGTGCAAGGTACAAGCTCCCATTGCTTGGAAATCAGATGCATCCGATGAAGCTGGTCGTGGAACAACGCGTACGCACGCCACACGCGGGAGTGAAACCAACAGGCTGCCCGTGCCAGAACGGGCGACGCGATGCTCATGAACCCCGCGAGACAACGCACCTCAGGGCAGGTGTGAGACCTGCCGCTATCTTGGAACCCCCCATATACATAGAGATAGTCACTGATAATGACGGCGACGTGACCAGAGCGAGCCGACGGGGTACCAGAGTTCCCGATGCCGCGCTTGTCAAAGGTTTGAAGGGCCTTGTGATCCGGCAGCTCGGAGACGCTGGTCCGACTGGCAATCATGGCTAATCGCCGCAGGGAGTCCGCCAAACCTCTAAACACGGACATGATTGCTCGCGTGCCGTCCAAAGTCGCCCCGTGTGCTTGGGTTCTTATCGATGGGCACAACCAAATTGATGAGAGCAAAAAAAAAAAAAAAAAAAAAAAAAAAGAGCAGCGACTTGGAGGACAGGCAGCGACGCAGGCAGAGATGATGGCCTCAATGCTCAGCCAGACGCTCAGGGTACCAAACGGTACGTGCGTAGGCGTGTGCCTGCACGTCAAGATGAAACGCAATGTTGTGAGCGGCGGTACACCACAGCGTCCAGTCACAACAAGGCTCGACGACGCCAATTGTATACACCCACACGCACGCACAGGCGCAAGTAGACATCCCCCGCACCCCGTTCCTTCAAACACCACCACCCACAGATGCACACGCTACCTCTGGTCTCACCGCCGCGCTGCTCCTGCTGCTCCTGCCGCCACTGCCGCCTCTGCCGCCTCTGCCGCCTCTGCCGCCTCTGCTGCTGCTGCTGCTGCTGCTGCTGCTGTTGATGGCGACGTTGTCCACAATCAAACTGCGTAACTTTGTACCTTTAATATCTGCAAGAACGATCACACGAGCTTCAATATCTGTAATATAAGCAACATTTACTCTAGTTATATCTACATTAACCCAATGACCATTTACATGAGTATAGTATTCCTCTCGACTATTTACTTCATTAACTCTAAAAGTCTATACATTAAAATACATCCTAAGTGCATCAATGCTGAGACAAAACGATATAACCAGCACACTCAAGAAAGGCTCCTTGTTGACCGTGTTCGAATGGCTTTTAGTAAAATACTTTTAAAATTGCTTGCGTGCATGCTCGAATTTTCACCTGCCGGCCTCCGCGCTGTAACGGCGACCGCATCGTTGCGGTACCTGGACGCCTCACTCTACACGCCGTGGTCCTCAAGTTCGCACGCAAACACACACGCGCACGCTAAAAGACCTGGTTTTACGGGTTCAAGACATCAGGCAGCCGCGTGTCATCTTGACGAACGCATCGACGCCAAGCACACGTCTCACCTGCGAAGACCCAATCGCGCCGCTGATTTACGCTCCTTTGATCCAGTCCCGCCCCGAGGGGCGTCCCACTTGCCCTGGCTCTCTCGATTCCACCCTCTGTGTACAAAGATTGGACATGGCTCAACAGCAACAGCGGGGGCCTATTCTCCGCCGCACAAATGTTCGGTAAGGTCCCCGCGGCACGTTGGCCCCTCCCTATTTTCCTCTCTCGCTCTCTCGTTATCTCTCTCTTGCTTTCTTCTGCTGCTCCTTTCTATCTCTCTCTCTCTCTCTCTCTCTCTCTCTCTCTCTCTCCCTCTCTCTCTCTCTCTCTCTCTCCCTCTTTCTCCTCATCCCAAAGCACCACCTTGCCTGGACAGCACCCTGCGCCTGCACGGTCGCCATCTGTCTCTCGCGGGTGTTGGTTGTGCCTCTATCAAAGCAATCATAATCCTCGATGTGTCCATGCTCCACCATTTAGGCGAGATGACTTGACATTGGATTCCCTGAGCAAGCCCGGCAGGCCCTATCCCACCGAGAGTTCTGCCGCCGTCCCAACCCCGACTGCCCTGCCAACCAATACAGAAGATCGCATCCTCCGCCGTGATCTGCGCGACCTGGAAGACCGCTTCGAAAGCTTTATGGTCGCCACCAACGCGGAGCTACATCATCTGCGGCAGTCCCTTAAGCGGGAAGAGGAAGCTCGCACGCAACTCGAGGTGCGTTCTCAATTCGATATTTTGTCTACCGTTATGTTTCCATGCCCCCGTCACCCTTCTTTGGCCTTTCCCAGAGAGAATTGGCCGAGGTGCACGAACTGTACGCTGAGCAGGCCATCCTGCTCAAGAAGCACTCGAACCAAGCCCACATTAGCGCGGAGCAACAGAATGGCCATGCCACACCCAGATCCAGCACCCCAGAACGTATTGCCCACCATCTCGATCTGGCCCGACGCCCCGGCGAATATTTTGGTAGGCCACCCGACAAAGCAAGCCGCTGGCGGCGTGCTCATGGCCAACTATCCCCATTGTTTTGACGCCCCACTCGGGAACAAGCAGAGGCTTGCCCTCCTCCATTGCCTTTCTTGCTCAAAGATTGTGAGTTGAGACTGGCTCATTGCTACGCCTCTACCGGGTACATACAGGTTTGAGTGTGGGAGAAGACGCGGCCAGTCACGGCGAAGCCCTGGTCATCACAGCCCTCGAGCCGGTACGTAGCCCCCACGGGCGCTGGCAGCACCACAGGGCCTGGCAGAGTGCTCAACAACTTTGAAACCGTTGCCCCTCGCTAGAACTCGGTGGCCGCCGATGCACGGCTATGCGTGGGAGATCGTATTCTAGCGGTGCGTGGCAATCAGCCGTGGCCACCTCGTCTTCCTCTTCCAATCGTCCCTCAATCCCAACCCTCCTGACATACCTTTGACTCGCGCTGACTCGTCGCGACACAGATCAACGGATCTGCTTGTCGCGCCATGTCCCTGGCACAGGCCCGGGAAATGATCAACCATGGCGGCGACCTCCTCTCGCTGCAAATTCACCAGTACGTGGTCCGCCAATCGGCATAACCCCGCCTCCCTCTTGCCCCCTGCAGCCTGCACTTGCACATCTCTAGGCGCTTCCTGACCCCGTCCGACGCTAGTGATGCTGCCAGCCCTCGCTTTCAGACGCCAGAGCCCTCGGATCAGGACCAAGACCCCAACCGCAAAGTCCACTTTGGTTCGTTTTTAATCCCTCTGTCTGTCTGTCCCTTGCGCTTGGGCCATCTCTCTGCTACTCTGTTTGATTCAAATCGGCCTTTGCTGCGATGACTTTTACGGTGTGCAGCGCGCAACATCAACCGCAAGTACTTTGCCGATGGCGAGAGCGTGGCTGGCTTGCGACAGGAGCATGAGTTTGTGTCTCCCATGCGCAACCACGTTGCGGGCCATCGCGCTGGCCCGGCAGATGGTCGCTCACACGTCATTGCCCCAGCCTATTCCGTGCCCATGCCCACGAGCATGGACAGCTTCTTGGGCGTCCAACCGCTTGAATCGGTACAACCATCAAGCTCGCATCGCCGTTGCATCTTGGTGTTTTGTGGCGGTCGGTCTGGTGCGCCCAGAGACGAGTGGTTCGGCTCACCCTGGTCCTGGCCTCGCCTGCTGGACATAGGCCAAACAGTACGTGCACGAACGCGATGCTTCAGAGCGCTTTAGCACTGCCACCGACGACGATGAGGGTGATACTAGTCATGACAGTTTTGCCCAAGATTCAACTATCCACGATGACCGACACTTTCAGGTGTGCTCACTGCGACGCGAGCATCAATGCCAAGGCTGCCTGATGGTCACTCACGTTGTGAGTCGATGAATATTCCCTTCTGTCAGGAGCTTCAAGAAGAGTATGCTGCGTACAACCTCTTCACCGTCGTCCTCTCTAAGGTCAGGCCAGGCTCCGAGCTGAGCTCAAGGGCATGTTACTGGCACGTGTGCCAGCTAAAGCGACTCTCTGCGCACCTTCTACCCAGTCCTTTCTTTTCCCTCTCGCTCATGTGCATCGTTGTCATACTTTGCCTAGGAGTCTCACGAGGCCGGCTATGGTCTGGCCATTTCGGAAGACGTTCGGTCTGATGGCATGCGCGTGACCAAGGTTCGGCCCGACTCGGCTGCGGATCGCGCCGGCCTGGAGGAGGGCGACCAGGTAAGACGTTGCGCTGGCTTCCTGCGCCTTAAAAATGATTGTCACAAGGACTCGGCCTTGATTGTGGCATGTCGGTTGAATTGTAAATTTCGCCGCGGGGGGGGGGGTTATAGATTTTATACATTGCTGGTGAAGACATTCGCTGCCTTCCCTGCGAAGACGTCGTGCCCAAGCTCAAGACACCGGTCTCGCAGCTTGATTTGATTGTAGCGCGGGCCTTGGGTGAAGTCCATACTTGCATTTGAACATGAGTTGCATTCCTCCTGGCCCGCCACCTCCCGTGTTGTTGAACGGCTGCTCCGCCTCTGTGTAAAAGATGTGGTGTCTCAGACAATCGAATGGTGCCAGCAAGAACAGTTGACTGAGGCAGTAGAAACAGGACTGGATTAATTAATGCCCGCGGCTTCAAGGCCCGCGCGGATGTGCACATTCAAGAAAGTACAAAAACTCGAGGGCCGTTTCCTGAGCAAAGACGACGCAGTTGCCATGACACGACCACTTGTAAATCTACACGAAAGGGGCTGACATGTGAATAATTATGATGACGAGATTTGGTCCAGGCTGTTTAGGCCAAGATTCTAAACAAGTCGGGCAGGACGACGGGGCATGCAGCAAGAGAGAAGATTGAACGGGTGAGCAGAGGCACCACGCGCGTATACCGAGACGGGGGGGGTACACGGGGCAGGCTTCAGCAAACGCACTCAAGTAGCTTGGCAAAAATGGTGGGGGTGTCTGGACTGCGCAACAGGTAGGTCCCCGCAGCTTGTGGAAACAGGCTACCGATATCAATTTGCAAAAATTCGCCGTCTGCGCCGTACCTAAAGCGGAAAAAGACAGAGAAGATGCAGCATAGCCGAGCCGGAGCAATCGATGCCACCAAGCGTGAGTGTGGGGAACAGCGAAGAGCATCCGCGCTCGGAATTCAGGAGACTAGCGGATCAAGCGTCAAAGAAGAAGAAGGCCGTACCGCTGCATCGTAATGTACGGGATCTCCATTCGCGGCTGCAGTGTGCTGGCGTCGACCAAGAGCAGGAAGCGCTCATGAAGCTCAATCCGATACAGGCCCACCAAGCCCAGGTGTAGGGAGGCCTGGGTGGCAACCACCTTGCCATGATACTCGTGCAAAGGGGCTCCAAGATGAGGGTCCGCCAAAAGGCTGGAGGGGGGCGTGGTCTTTGAGACTTGCTCAAGGGGCTGCGGCAACGGGTCATTGGGATGGCGCATGGTCATGCCCAGCAAGGGAGTCGGCTCCGCCTTGACCAACGTGTGCGCGGCGGGTAGCGAGGCGCGACGCTGGTGCATAGGGCGCAAAAGGCCGCCTTGCTCTGTCACGCGGGGGCTGGAGGGGGCCGAAAACGCTTGGGGCGGTGGCCGGGGTGAATTCGCCAAGGTTTGCCGGAGTGCATGCAGTTCATGCTCATGCTTGGCCTGGGCGAATTGCTGCAAAATGGCCTCCATGGAGGCAATCACGAGCGCCAGCTGCTGATCCCGTTTATTGGCAGAACCAGTTGTCACACACTCCGCAGATGTCCCACACTCTGCCATCGGCGTTTGAGGGTTGGCTGGCGGCACATCCACACGGTCTGCAAACGGAGGCCCGGCTGAGCGAACTGAGGCCCGCACGCGCTCCTTGCTGCGGCGATGACGAAGCTCGGCCTGTTCAGCAAACTGACTGAGCGCCAGGTGGGCGGTTTGAGCTTGCCCGGGCTCCAACTCGGGCTGGGACAAGGCGTGACGGGGGTTGAACAACATGTTTGATAGGAGCTGGGAGATCAAAGGTTTCCGTTTCGGTGGCAGCGGGATCCGGCCGCTGGAAATGAGCCAAAGGATGGGGTGTACTTCAAGGTTGTTGAGCTTGAACCAAGGTTACGCGTCTTTGCTCACGCGTGACGTTGTTAGACACAAGGGTTTCTCACGCCGCCAGCGAATCGGGAAGCGGGCGGGGGGGGGGGGGGGGGGGGGGGAAT